CACAGCACACACTTTATTGTTTCTTGTTGCAAACTATGCTCCATCTATGTCGTGACCTAATGGTTAGAGAGTTGGACTCGTAACCCAAAGGTTGCGGGTTCGAGTCTCATACCGGCAGGGATTGTAGGTGGGGGGAGTGAATGTACAGCGCTCTCTCCCATCTTCAATACTACGACTGAGGTGCCCTTGAGCAAGGCACCGAACCCCCAACTGCTCCCCGGGCGCTGCAGCACTGCTCCGGGTGTGTGTTCACGGTGTGTGTTTGTTCACTGCTGTGTGTGCGCACTTTGGATGGGATAAATGCAGAGCACTAATTCCAAGTATGGGTAACCATACTTGGTCACATGTCACGTCACTCACTTAATCTAGTTCTTGTGGCCAACATCTCTGCACCATCGCTCTCATTCTGTATATAATCTTACTGAGTCTGTGCCCTCACTTGATGATAATGGACACATCTCTGTTCTCCAGGAAGAGCATTCTCCACTATTCTGTGTTTTCTTTCTTTGGCAATGGAAGGTGATTCAGGACATTAGCATTTCCATATTTTTTTCCTTGCCATGCAGATGATATTGTACTCTTATGCTTGCAGTGATACTGCTCATCCTTGAATTGTAGGAATAGCCTTAATTAACAAAAAAGGACAGTAAGAATTTATGTGCTGTGACGTTTGTGAACTTCCAGCCAAAGATGTACTGTACTTAAAGCTACACTATGTAACTTTTGGCCCTCTATTGGTTAAGGCATAAAACTAAAAGTTACTTGCGGTGAACCATTATTTTGGTAATAACATGAGTTGTGCTTCAGCTCTGTTTTATAAAAACTACTTAAATGTCCTGAACTTTGGCCTAATCCTGGCTTAATTTAAGCCCTGTCTGTGAAACCAGGCCTAAAAGTTTTGAGGCGGTAGGTAATTAAGGTCACAATTACATTAGTTTAGGACAGTGGTTCCTAATCCTTGTCCATGTAGTGGCAAACCACGTGTAACCATGTGTCCCCCTAAATGTGTCTGAGAACTTACCTATGAGAACAGATACCTTGGTGGAGTGTGGGGAAACATCTCATGGCAAGAACTGCCAAATCTGGTGCAGTCCATGAGGATGAGATGTACTGTAGTACTTAAACAAGTTTTAAAATGAACCACTCATTACCATATCACTCATTATCATATATTGAACATTAAAAAAAAACATTACATAGTGCAGCTTTAAGGAAACAATGTACTCCAAATGCAACCACGAGTCCTTTCTTGTCTAACTGTGTGCAGTTTCTTGATTTAATGTATATTACATAAAACCTTTGTTGCATTGCTGTCTTGTGTGAAGAAACTAGATCTAACCCATCCCCATGTGAGGTCTCTTTTTGGGAGTCATAGTGGACTAAGACTTCTGCTGACTAATTAATTTCTTTTGACTGCTGAAATGCATTCTCTTGTGTTCAACACTCCATTTCCACTTAGCCTCTTTGCCCAACAGCTTGTGAACAGGACTGTGGACAAATTTTGGCAGAACCTTCAGCTCTGTGAGACACTGGAATGCATTGGTGCATTCTGTTTTACTCTTGCCCTGGATGCGAACCCGCAGCATTCACCTTGTGTCCTATGAACACTGCTTCCATTCCCGTGAAAGTGCTCCTCGCTTTAGTCATAGTCCTGCTCTTTGCAGTCTTGTCAGTAATGTGGCAAGTGTCCGAAGATGCTCATGGTCACATAGGCCAGGTCAACATGTAGTCTCCACTTAGTCTAACTAAATTGTCAGGCTTTAGTACAGGTACTATGGGTGATGCCCATTCTGAGTTATTCATTGGCTCTATTATTACAGTTTGTTCTGAATTATGTATTGTTAGTAACGCATTCTTCTCACTTCATTTGTGAGTCTCTTTGCTGTTTCTTTTGTATGAGATGTGCTCTTTGCACTTTTCTTGTTTCTCTGTCTTGTGCACTGACCCCCCTTTTGCAGCCTCCCATGTTGACAATTTTGATATGCATATGTTGGGCCTGTAAATCCCTCACCTTTTTGTTGGTTGTCTCCATTGTTATTTTTCTTACAATAAATGTGTGCTCATTGTTGTCATCACTTAAGACCAGCCTCTCTCAGTGCATTTCTATTGATTTGTCTCTTGTAGCCCTGTTTTAATTTCTTTCTTTCTTTTCCTGGACTTAACATATTTATCCTTATACTTTCCATCTTAAGTCTAACTGAACAAAATTGATTTCCATCTTGCTGCAACACTAATATTTATTTGACTGACTGTTGAATGGCACCATACTGCCTATAATGCTAGCGATCTTCTTTCCCTTGCTTAACAGTTTGACTTCACTGTTTAACACATAATTTTTAACACATAGACTTGGGATAATCCACACTTAATTTTTCAGTTCTAGAGACTTCAGTCTTGCCCCCCCCCCCCCTGTTTCTTTTAGTCAGGGTGTGAAGCTATCCCTTGCAAAAATATAGTGTTTGGCAAACTCCTGTGGCAATCACATATTTTCATATGAGCTTTGTGGCTAAAAGTTTGCAGCAAATTTGCAGCAGACAGTTGTGGCAAGCCTGTGGTGAACATGCAGTACAGGTGCTTCTACTTTTTTGATGCAAATTCAAGGTATTTTTTGTGCCATTGGATTATATATTCAAACCTTCAATTATCTCTTGACATAAATACATATTCTAATACAGTACAAATCTCAACATTGTGTGCGGTATTTCTAAAAATATTTATCTTCAACATATAGAAAGTGACAAATAAATGTACACAAAAACATTAACTCAACTGATTTAACAAATTCGACTGATCAATATTAAATATTATGAATATTTAAATTATATATAATTTGATTAATATATAATTTAAATATACATATATATTATTATATACATATATATTAACCATTTAATACTATAAATTCATTCATTTGCTTGTTTTCTATTCACATATCCTGTTAAGCATGACTACTCCCCTACAGGTATAAGTTCACTTCTTTGTTGAAATCCACATCTTTCATTTTCAGATTATCTGAAAATGAACTGAAAAAGAGAGTGAAACTAAACTGTATCATGGAGTGACACAGAACATTAGGCATGTGTGATTCATTTCATTGCTCAGACTTTATTCATTTTAACTTAAATGCTGTTGATGTCTTGCCATACAGATCACATGATTCTTAAAGTCCCTCCATGAGTTTGTGAATGGTGAAGCCTGGGCCTTCATGCTGGAACCTCTCAAGAGTTGTTACAAGCCATGTTTTTAAGACTGCCAATGACTTCAGTATCAGGGGCAGGCTTCATTCTCTTTCAGGATCAACTGGTAAATAAATGAGTTTCTAAACAATCTATATATACAGCTGATACAGAATATGAGCATGGATATTCATCTAATCACATCTAACATCATCAGCAGGCAGCATATTTACAGACATTAAAATAAAAGCCTCACTACTTCTACATCAAAGTAAATATAAAGTATAGGAAAGAAAAGATGGACACAGATTAAATATGATTCAAGAGTTAACTGACTGCCATCAGCCATGGTCAGAATTATTGGCACCTTTGATAAATATAATCAAAAAAGGCTGTGTATCTGTATTGTTTATCCTTTTGATCTTTCATAAAAAAACACACACACAAAAATTAACAAGTAATTCAATAAGTAAAAAAAATTAAGGGGGGGGGGGTGTCACATTATGAAATCAATGTTTTCTCTAATACACGATGGCCACAATTATTGGTACCCCTAGACATTTTTATTAGTAAAAAATCTCTGAAGTATATTCCCATTTATATTTACAATGTTTAGCACACCATGGTGACTGCATCAGGACAATGATCCAAAACAAACATCATCAAAATTTATCAAAATCAATCAAAATTAAAGTTCTGCCATGGCCATCTCAGTTCCCTGACCTAAACTTAAGAGTAGAGTATATCAACATGGACTTGGGAAACTGAAATATTTGGAGAGAATCTGTATAGAGGAGTGGTCTCTGATCTTTTGTCAGGTGTTCTGCAAACTCATCAGGCATTATAGAAAAAGTTGTAATCTTGGGAAAAGAAGGTTGCAAAAATACAGTATTGAATAAAAAAGGTTAATTGTGGCCAGTGTGTGTTAGGGAAACACATTTATTTCATACTGTTTTACTTCAAATGAAAGTTTAGTTTTTTGTGAATTCTTTGAATGAACGATCAATGTGATTAACAATTCAGATTTATTATCACAGGCTTCTTTGTTCATATTTACCAAGGGTGCATAGACAGACAGACAGACAGACAGACAGACAGACAGACAGATAGATAGATAGATAGATAGATAGATAGATAGATAGATAGATAGATAGATAGATAGATAGATAGATAGATAGATAGATAGATAGATAGATAGATAGATAGCTTTTTTCTTAACAAATTTGCTTTTGAAAAAAATCACTTACATGATTCATGTAGATCTGAAGAACTGTCACATTACCAGAAATTCAGTCATATCTATTGGCATTATGACATAAATTTCATGCTATTTTCATATTTTTGTCATTTATATATTTTGTTATGAAGTAAAAGTACCTCACTTCAGAGAAGCTCACTGCTTTTAGGTTGCTGCAAATTTGCCGCAAATTACCAATAAATTAGCAAAGAAATGTTTTTGCAAGGGACATGCTATTTACACTGTAAATAGTCTTACAGTCTAAATAGTGGTAGATACTGTTTGCACGAAACATACATAGCAACAAATAGCATCTTGTTTGCATTAAGTACAAATAGTTACATGCTATTCACATAAAGTGTAAATAGGAGTAATGGGATATTTGTACTCAGCGCAAATATTGGGCAAAGATAAATTAGCCATGGGTACTTACACCTGGCTACTACAACACAGAGATCAGATTATCCTTACAAAGACCTTTTATAGAGTGGATTGGTACATTAAAAATAAATGACTGTATATTGAACCTTGAATTTAACAGATCTATGATTACATTTAATGTATTTTCTTCTTTCCTTTTCCTGCAGCGTGCAAGTTGTCCTGCCATAAGAAATGTGAGGTAAAGGTAAATCATGGATTTTTCCCCTTCTCTTTCTTTCTTTCTTTCTTTTCTCAAAGAAGAATGTCTTAGTATTCTCTATCTAGCTGTGTATCATGTTAGATTTTGACATGAAGGATTTTATATATGCTTTTTATTTCAATGACCTTCACTGACCTCTGTGTGTACATGTGTGTTAGAATCACACTTGAATACATGGTCTACTTTTTATCCAGGGTTAGGAAACCCTGCTCCGGAGCACAACTTCCGCAGGGTTAACCACTCATTGAGATGCCAAATGTGAAACAATGCCGTGTCAGAATGTTACACCTAGATGCTTGGCAACAGACATCCCATGAGAAATTAAACAGCATGTGTCTCGTATCACAAGCTGTGTACAGTCACAGAAGTTGTATGTTGTAAAACAGCCATGAAGGATTGATGTGCCGACATTTTTACTCAAGATAAGCCAGTTATTTAAATTACTCGCACAATGTATTTATCCAATCATTGTTGCTGATACTGCAGACATGTAAATAACTTTAACCCAGAGTTTAAGGATGAGCACTGTTTTAGTTCAGTTGGTCTGGTCTTATCAGTGTTACATGTAAGCGACATTATTTTAGTTACCTGTGTGATCAATTAAAGACTTCTGGAATCGGAATCTGCCTCTGCTCATTTTTGATTGCTGGACTTTACAAAGCCACAAGTCCCAGTTGTCTGGGGAGGGCCCTTGAGGGAGCTTTGCCGAATTTCATGTGGATCACCACTCACTGCCGGTCCCGACGACGATGACACCAGCCCCACTCCCAAACCAGATCCAAGCCACAAACCATTGGACTGTGAGGAGCAGCAGCGTGAGCCTACCTCAGACAGAGAACCTGACTTCACTATGATGTATGAGTCAGCGCCAGTGGGACCGACGGAGCGGAACATCACCTCATAGCCAGAGTTAAGCATATCTGAGCAGGTGTGCGAGCCGGCTGTATCGTCCATCGCTGTGGGAGTTCTTGTGGTTTACGAGGGAATGGAAGTGAGCCCCGCCCACACTCCTGCTACTGAGAGTGAGTTTCTGAGTACTCTATGTTCTGTCATTTTGATGTTTAGAGAGGATGATTCCCTGCCCTAATTACTGCCACCCAAATCGGACTGCTCTTCTTCTGTCTCGCTGGTCCCGCCTAGCCTCCCTCTCCCGCCTCCTCTCCAAATCTCAAACTGTGTGTCTACCCAAGTCATGTCATTTTGTGTCAGTCCCTCTGTTCCTCCTCAGTCTCTTCTCCAGCCCTCAGCCACTCCTGCAACCCAGTCCGCACTGTCTCACATTAGCCCCTCAGTTTTTCCTCAGGCTCCTCTCAGTGGCACGGCAACACCTCGGGCTTGCTGTGAGCCAGCTCCTCCTGGGCGTGGGGATCCCTTGGCTCTGTCTCCGGCATCAGATCCCGTCATTTTACATAGGACTGACTCCTCCATCTCCACTCCTTCCTCCCTCAACCCCAGCAGCGATCATCAGGCTTTCAGCTCTGGCTGGGCTCCATTGGACCATCAGTTCCACATGGATCAGACATCTCCTCAAAAATGCCACAGACTTGTGGGCTGTTTGCTGCTCTCTGGCCCTCCACCCCTATGGCTCCATTTGGCTCTGCCCTTCCTTAGGCTCCACCTCTGCCCTCGGGTACTCCAGCTCCACTTCAGCCCTCTGGTATCTCGGTTCTATCTTGGGTTGTCAACACTCTGTCATGGCCTCCGGGACCTTCAGTGTCACTCTGTTCCTTTGACTCTTTGTCTGCACTGAGGGCTCCTTCTCCATCTGGGAAAAGTTAATATTTTAATGTTTGCAGATTTGGCCGCATTATGTTCCATTGTAAATACCTAAATTAATAAAATGACTTATTTTATATTTATTTAGTAGGAAAAGGTGATACGAGTTGAAATTCATTTATGATAATCAGCATAATGCCACAAGTGCTGTTGATTGAGTTTAAGTTGTATTGAACTCGGGATAATCCTTGGCGAGTTACACTGTCTAAACTGTATATCAGTGAGTGCATGTAATTATTTATTTACTTATTTTTGCTGCAATAATTTATAATTTTGTGGGTTTTATCAACATTTTTATTAAAAAAATTAGCTTGCTAGCAAACTAGCTGGCTTCAGTGTTGGTTGAGTTGGTGCTATTAAAGACATTTCAGACAGACTGACCTTTTTAAATGTTTGTGAAGTGTTGTTGCATAAAAATCTGTTTTGAGTCTGAGTGATATCTGTTTGGGCAGTGCTTTTGACATAAGGCCCAGTGGCATTTTAACTGAGGCCTTTAAGTGAGGCATTTAAGACATTTAAGTGAAATATACTGAGACATTTTACTCTTGGTTGTTTTCAGACATTATTAATATATGCATGCTAGCATGTAAAAAAAAAAAAAAAAAAAAAAAAATTAATTAACATTCCTGTTTTTTGAAAGCTAGGGCATTAAGGTGAAATAGTGAAATATACTGAGACATTTTACTCTTGGTTGTTTTCAGACATTATTAATATATGCATTCTAGCATGAAAAAAAAAAAAAAAAAAAGAATAATTAATTAACATTCCTGTTTCTTGAAAGCTAGGGCATGGCACTAGCAAGGGCAAGGTCATTGATTCAATTCCCAGCAAAGGCATGAACTTATAAAAAACATGCACCTTGAATGCTTTTCGCGTTGGATAAAAGTATATGCCAAATACATAAATTTAATGTAAATGAAGAAGACAAATCAATAATAACAGGCACAGATTGTTTTAATAATCAGACATGAATAATAATCTATTCACAATAAAAGAGGAGTACAAAAATTAAAAACATATTCACCAAAAAAGTTCCTTAAATATCTTTGAAGGAATGTGAACTAGGCAGAAGTGTCCCATGCAGTTAGAGGACGAAAGTGAATGTGCAAATGCATGATGTCATCTGTACCCCGTTTTAATTGTACTACCCTTCTTCTTGAAAACAGTCAAATCTTTGGAGTAGCTATGTATTAAAAATGTACAAACTTTGCATAGAGAATAGAAGAAAATACATATCATGTAATCATAACACTGATAGGTTTAGTGTAAATGTTGAGGTCTGTAAACATATAGATCAACCTAATATTTATCTTCAACTGCTAGATAAAAAAGGATGTAGTATGAAGTCAAACTGTATGGGGCCCCACTACGGTTCATCGTCACATGCACCACTGAGTATGACAAGGTCATAAATATTGGTCAGCATTTGTTGTGTACATAGGAAGAGAGCGAAAGAGGGGTACGAATATATTCTTTATCAGACAGATTGTTCTACATGGAAAAGGGAGCAGTGTCACCAGGAATATGGACATGTTTTAGAAATCCTTGAAAATGAACATTTGAGAGATTAATATTATAGGTTTGGGTAGATGTAAAATGTTTGTATTCTGAACGTGTTCTTTTCTTGATACTCAAGAGACATTTTGTTTTAAGGCAATAAAATATTTTAATATCTAGTGTGTTTTATTGTTATGTCTTTGTTTTTAATAAATTGCTAATATAATGTGTTATTTGCTGTGTTAATTTGTATTTATTGCTCTTTTTTCAATGAATTGTTTAAAGTGGAGCAGACTTGTATCTAGTAAAAACAGATTGGAAGAATAAGGCTTTTGTAAACTTTCAGAAAGGAAACAGACTCTGGAAACACAGTGCTTTTTATAGGACACCCTAGAGATCCAGATGCTATTGAATTTTTTTTTAAAGAGTAAATCTGTCATTTACTCACTGTCATGTCATTATCAACCTATATGCCAATATATTTCAGGTTCATCAGATGGAATGCAAAAGGAAATTTTTTTGAAGAATTACAGCTCTTCCATAAAGGTCCATAAAAGTTGTCCATACAATCATCCACTAGAGCCAAAGCTTGTGTAATGTATTATGAGAGGAACATATTGAAATTTAAGCAGAAAATCTTCCCTTCTGCTGCAGCTGTCAAATAGTATTGGCATTCAACATATTTGAACTGGATCGAGTTACGACACACACACAAAATCCATCAATGATATATAAAAAAAATAAATAAATTTAACACAGTTATGAATCAGCGAAAGGGAAAACTACCATCATTTAACAACTTAAACTTCCCTTTTCCTTTGCTTCCTGTCACTCATTCAGTGTTGTACCAATAAAGGCAAAAAATTACTTTAAAAATTCATGGATGTCAGTATATCCTAGGCCAGTATTTTCAAACCAGGAGGAGCCACAATGTGGGGCTTTTGTCATTGGGTATCAGGCTGCATGGTTGTATTAAGCAGGTGGTTGAAAACCGGCCAGCCTCTGTCTAGGAGTTGTAGACTTGTCACGACCCAATGTCCATTCAGATGATTCCCTCACTCAGATCTATATGTTGGAGTTGTGTGGTCAAGGATGTAATCTGCTTGCCATGCGCTCCTGAGCATTCAAAACTGTGGGAATCAACTCTTTGCTTTAGCATATTATCTGCATGAGAAGTGCCCTCCAGGAGATGTTTTTCCAATGGCCTTCTCTGGGATAATATTTACCTCAGTCCCCATGATCCCAAGCCTGTGCTGCCTCTGCCATTGCCACTGCCTCCACTTGTTCATTCATGGATAATGGGTTCCTATATCTTACCTATGTGACCACGGGAATGAGCACATGAGTTTGCCTACTGTCACTGAGGTGGAGCAGATTCCAGGTGCATTTCCTAGTCACTACCTGCCAAGAGAGAAGTTATTACTCATCTTACTGGTCATTCACCGTGGGTTATAACTCCCTCCTGTGATTATGCAGATTGTTTACAGGTGCTTCCAGTAATGCAGCTCCTCAGACAGATGTTCCATACTTGTGTTCAAAAGTCTAAATAAATATGTGCAACAACAATTTTCTTTGGTAAAGACAACTATTATGTGCCGTCCACATGTGCTGTAACTTCTAGAAAAGGGACTTCTAGGGACATCTAATTTATTTTAAATGAACTGCAAACTTCCATTGACAATACGACTTGACGTGTGCAGTAACTTCAGAAAGTTGATAAAAGTTTAATTTCATGCAATTGAAGAGCAACTTTTGAGTGACAACCAATGAGTGAAGACTGTGACAGTGGAGCTCACATGTCACCCATCTTAAATGCAGGCAAGACAGCACTGAGAAGTTTCGGAGCAATTTCAATGGTCTATATGATTTTTCTGTAACCACATACATGGATAAAATGGTGTGTGGAAAAGAAACTGTTGGCAGTCTTAGTGAGTTTGATTCATGCATTGATAGTTTATACTGATGATTAATTGAGGCAATGAGCAGTTTAGCACTCCTGCAGTTCATCTTAAAACACTTTCCCCTGCCTGATGTTCGTTATTAGAGACAAGCATACGGATTACAGTATTTGTCAAACTTAAATGACATGTTAGAAATGGGCACTATTTTAATAAAGTGTTTGTTTTAGTTGAGCAAATTAACCTGCTAGATAAGCAGCTTCAGCTCACACAGCGCAAGTGGATCAGTCCCCAACTTTATTGACTATGATTATATTATTTGAAGCAAATGTATTCTTTTAGAATTTTGTACTTTGAAATATATTATTAGTGCATTATGAGTGCACAAGATTAATATCTTAAAAATCTTGATGCACATTTTTTATATTTTATTATTGTTGATGAAATAAAACCCATCATTACAAACATTTGTCTGTGTCATAGTTCAACAAGCGAGGTTAAACACAAAAGAAGATACAATATTTTGAAGAATGTTGGAAACCAAACAATTGACAATAGCCATAGACTTCCGTAGTGTTTTTTGCCCTCCATACTGTGGAATTCAATGTCAACTGTTTTGGATACCAACATTCTTTAAAATATAATCTTCTTTGGAACAACTTGAGTAAATAATGACAGAATTTTCGTTTTTGGGTGAACTAGCATGTGATCGCACATTGTTATTCTCATTCATAAAATAAAAAAATAATGTTGTTGTCTTTGTAGTGTTTAATATTTCTTTTAAGTAGATTTGTATACTGTACATGCAGGCTTTGCTGATCAGCACTGCTCATCAGGTTAAGCAATTACAGATTGAGAAAATGTTTCCCGCACACTACAAACGGCGTGTCAGTTTCCCACACACCACAAACAATGTGGAGCATACTGATTAGAAAAATATATAACTGGTATAAATCAAAATGGTCAACACTGGTGACCCCTATGGCACATTAATTAATACATTTAAAAAATAATGTGAACCCTTCCTGATTTACCTGGATTCCATAAAGTAGTCATATAAAAAATGACAAAAATATCATTCAAAGTTGAAAAAAAAAGCAATAATCTATTTTATTTGTGCAGCAAATCGAGAGTTGTGAGATTAACAAAACTGGAGAAGAACCAGCACTTCAGCCTGTATAGTCTGACCCTGGTGCAGTTCATAGATGTCAGTTCTATATAGTACAACACATATTGTTTACAATTCTTTGTTATATGAAGAATATGCTGAGGAATCGTGTATTCTCAGAAAGACGCAGAAGTAAATACAATGTCTTATTCATTAAATATCAAGGCATTTATATGTGAATACTTACATCACTTCTATACCTTCTGTAGATCTATTCTTTATAGGATTATTTACAAGACTCCCTTCTACTTCAAACCTCTACTACCATAGCTTGTTCAAAGTCATACATCAATCCCTTTTTATAGGTAGTTTATATCTAGAGTGGGTAAGTGACCAGGAAACGCAATACACAAAAATAATTGTGAAAACCACCCAGCTCTGCAAACGGTATTTTGGTTTTCAATAGTTTTGCTTAAACCTTCTTTGTGGTGCAAGCCTCTAGATTATAGTCAATGAGATGAGACTGGCGCTTTTTGTCAGAGCCTCCTTGTCCTATAAGAACACTCACAAATTTTGTTTGTTGACTTTGCTGTTCACAAGAACGTTCTCATGATGGGGGCAAGAAGCTCAGGTAAATCTAAAGGGTTCAAATACATTTTGTAGTATTGTGGTATATTTGTGGCCCTACAGGACCGAAATTGGACACATATGATGTTAAATGTTGAATTACCCTTGTATATCTGTGTAACTGAATTTTTTATTTACAGTAAGTACACATTTGTTTTTCACAATTCTATCAGACAAGGTAGAGCAAGGAAAGTTGTTAAAAAATATAACTCCTGCATTCAGTCTAAATTTGTCTCCCTCTATCTCCTCTTTATATCTACAGGTAGCCACAGCCTGTGAATCTACAGCTGCTACTACAACTACTACAACAACAACAACAACTACTACAACTAACTACAATCAGGTAAGATCAATCAGGTAAGAATCAGACAAACTGCCCAAAGTCTAAAAAAAGTGTTCTTTTTTGTTTGTTTGTTTTGTTTTTAGTGGAAAAATTATTTTGATTTCAGCACAGTTCCAAAGTTTTTAGTAAAAGCATAACTTTGAGTATTACATACAGTGGTTATTATTCAATTGTATTATACAGTTGTATTGGTGGTTTTCTTTAATTTATGTTATTGTGCCCCTTTAGTTTTGGTTTTTAAAGTTATCGCAAGGGAAATTGATGAAGTTTTGCATGCGTTCTCCAAATGTTCTATGGTAATGTAAACATTGTGGCAAGAATCATTAAAGACTACACCTAAAAAATAATGGGTCATATCTGCATAAATATTAATATTTATTAGACTTTGAAAATATGTATGCAAGGAAAATTACTTATGATAAATTGAAGTGTGTGTGTGTGTGTGTGTGTGTGTGTGTGTGTGTGTTTCTGTCTGTCATCCTCTATAACTAGGGTTCTACAAAGTCTCCCAAAATGGACTCGAAACGAAGACCATCCAGGTATGCATGCTTCCACATGTGTTTGGTGTGTGTGCTTATGCAGTAATAAGCTATGTCTGATAATATGTCAATTCCCCTATTATCTGAATAATTTTAGTTACAACCAGAAAAAAAGAAGAAGATTATAAATAAGTTATTTGCATCTTTTATTAAGTGTCTAGCATTTGTTATTTTTCTTCCATCTAAGGACCCTAAGTCTGATGCAAAAAATGGAGGAAAGTAATGAGGTGGACCTGGTCTACATCACAGAACGCATCATTGCTCTGTCCTTCCCTGGTGCAACAGAGGAGCATAGATACAGTGTACACCTGAGGGAGGTGACCAGCATGCTCCGTTCTAAACACCAGCAGCACTATCTAGTAAGTATCCTCCAAATTTCACAGCAACTGACAGACAAAAACTCAAAAAAACGTTCTAGTGGATTATTTATGGTCAACTAGGGTTTCTCTGTATGAATATTAACTAGTCATTATGTGATGTGAAGTGATGAACTCTTTCTGTGAGGATGTTTAATGCTAGGGAATCTCTATGTGTAAATTATTGTACTTGGGTAACTTAGACTTAGTTACTTAGTCTTACGCTTAGACTAAGAGACTCTCTAGAAGCAAATTACAATAAATAGATCCAGACAAAAGACAACATTAAGACTTAAATACAAGGGAAATATAATTCAAAGAGTCAACAAAAAGAAACCTGAGCTTTGTCCAAAATCACCCTCATCCCCTTTATAGTGCACCATTTTAAGTGTCAGATCTTGTTTATATTTGTACATATTTCTTTATCCAAAACCAGAGTGGAGATTATCTTGTGCACTTTTTCAATCATATAATGTACACCACAGTAAGCAATTTACGATGCAATGGCTAGGGAATACATAATGCACTGTTAGGGTCACATAATATTTCAAATGAATTGGATGAATTATGATTTTGTTTTGGGGGGGTGGGGAGGGGGCATACACACTATTATTGCTTTACTTTCATGTGCATCTGATTAATAGGTAAACTATGCACTTTAATCAGAGTTGTTGCTAATGTTGTTGATATTTTAGCAAACAGTTTTCTATATAGATTTAGTTTAACAGCATTAAACTGTGCACATCCATTTTAGACATGGGTGTCAATGATTGTCTTGTGGACAACTGTCAGATCAGCAGTCTTCCCCATGCTTGTGTAGCCTAGTGAACCAAACTGAGAGGCCATTTTGAAGGCTCAGGAAACCTTTGCAGGTGTTTTGAGTTGATTAGCTGATTGGCATGTCACCATATTCTAATTTGTTGAGATAGTGAATTGGTGGGTTTTTGTTAAATGTGAGCCAAAATCATCACAATTAAAAGAACCAAAGACTTAAACTACTTCAGTCTGTGTGCATTGAATTTATTTAATACACGAGTTTCACAATTTGAGTTGAATTACTGAAATAAATGAACTTTTCCACGACATTCTAATTTATTGAGATGCACCTGTATTTCCTTGCTCCATCCATTCAGTAATTACAAGTCCTTGATTGAGTGGGGTGTTCTTTCATATTTACTTCTCAGGTTATGTTAATGCTATGACCCTTTTACTGAAGAAGAGAATGTATACAGGTTTGGAATCAGGATAAGTTTAAAGATCTCCTGAAATGCTTAGAAACACGCAGCGTTACTCTATGTGTTGACGTCATTTGAACTGAAACAGGAAGACAGGGCGGGACATATCAAGCAGCCCCGCCCCTTTTTAAAATAGCCAATAGTGTTCATTTATATCACAGCTTGGGCTAGAGCCGTTCAGAGCCGTTGAGCTCCGTAAAGCCGCATTTGACGGTATGCCAGCCACAATCTCATCCATATTGCTATAAAATATAGCATTCTGTGTAGAATTCAAATAGCTCCGTTACATTTTGTGGTCTGCGCCGACTCGCATATGTGCGGTTAGCGTGACACAGCGCGGAACCAGACTTCTTTATTTCCTCAATGGAAAGCATATTTACACTGTTTGAGTCGTTCCCTGTCCCCTATATAGTGCACTACGTGCCATTCACTGTACAGAAAATACAAATTCTGTGGACAAGTGACCGATTTCAGCCGCGGCTTCAGCTTCTATTTTATAGTGTATGAGGCGGGCGCGTCGGATTCTAGAGAGCATTTGATTGGACAGAAAGTTTGATGAGAAGCTGAAGTACGATGTGACGTCAAAAAAATCATTGAGCTGTTTTGGCGGAAGTGACGAACTGCAAGCTTTGAATGCTTATATCTTCTAAATGCGAATTTTGTCACTGTTTTGGAGCACACTGCTTTATAGATAACCTTAAGACTAACATATTGATACTAACACCCAAAAAACTTTCATTTTGATTTCATGGGGACTTTAAGTAAAGAGGATGTTCTTATCTATGAGCAATTCATGTTTAAAAGTTTTTTTCCCATTTCAGCTGCTTAATCTCAGTGAACAGAGGCATGACATCACCAAGCAGAACCCAAGGGTGAGTTTGTTTGTTTGTTTGTTTATGAGTTCCTGTCAGCTTGTAGTCTTAAATTTGATTCATGCTTGTGTGCATTTATGACAGGTGCTGGACTTTGGTTGGCCCGATCATCATGCTCCTTCTCTAGACAAAATTTGCAGTATCTGTAAAGCCATGGACACCTGGCTTAATGCAGACCCTCACAATGTGGTGGTACTTCACAACAAGGTATACATCATATCACATCACCCAATCTCCACCTCCTTCGTCTTGCATGACTGACCGGACTGACATGCTGTCAATGTTATAAAAATTATTTGCTGCCTTAAGTTGAATCACATTGGCCTTTCAATTTAGATTATATTTAATTGATTTTAAAAACAAGTTGAATCTCACATAACAGTTGCCATGATTTGTTGATTGTATAATTTTTTACATGTTGTACAATTGAAACTGAATTTACAATGAAAATGTTGATATTCATATATGACTGGACATACAGAAAGATACTTGTCTGTCTTATCATCTCAGTAATCAGATATGTTTTCTAGACACCTGCTTTCTAGTTAGGTATGGAAGTTGGAAAATGATGACCAGAGATTACATAATTCATTTGCATCTTATCCTGCATGTATGGCTCATGTGATTGGCTCAAAGTACCCTGTGGTGCAATAAGCCCGGACAACATATTTCAAATGTTGTAATTTGGGCCTGACAAGCAACAGCCATTGAGATGAATGGGAAGTATAAAATAAAAAATGCATCATCATTTACTTACCCTCAACCTGCATGCCTTTCTGTCCTCTGCAGAACGCAAAATAAGACATTTTTGAGACAAAAATAATTGTCTTTGTACAGGCATTTCAAGCCTAACCAGCATTAAGAAATAAGATGTAGTAAACATATAGCCTGACTGAAATCCCAAAATGACAGTGCCTACTTTGTTTTCATTTTGCATGTTCTCCTTGATAATTTGGTAATTTAGCAACATTTCTTGCAGGGAAATTGGGGGAGAACTGGTGTTGTGGTGGGTGCCTATATGCACTACAGTAACTTATCAGCCAGGTAGGATATATCTATATGAAGCGTGGTGTATTTAAGATACATTAGAGAGGACCATGTATTTGTGTAAAGTGTTTATATTTTGCATTCATATTTTCAGTGCTGACCAGGCACTAGACAGGTTTGCCATGAAGCATTTTTATGAAGATAAAGCCATGCACATGGGCCAGCCTTCCCAGAGGAGGTCAGCAATGCACCACACATGCCTATTTTGACTCTACACCAAAATATCCATGAAGACTTTTACATACTGATCCTGGAATCAATAATGCCCACAGAACCACACTGAAAATTACTATTTGCTTTTTTTATTTTTTTTGTGAGAAATACGGCATTTTGCTTTAGATATCTGTAAATCACATTTTCTTATTGCAAAGTCTGAACTGAGTCGATGTGTTTGCATTTCGGGGATTGAACCAGCAGGTGCTACCAGAGTACATGGGCTAAAACTGGATTTGCAGTGGAACATAAAAAGATGTTCCTGATAATTAGAGTTCAAACTAATCATGATGTTAAGTGTCAACTAGTATGAATAATGATTAATAATACTTACATTATTTAAAATATGTAACATATTGATAAATTGTACGTCAATTTGAAGTTTAAGTAAGAGGAAGATGTATATCATATACAAATATTTTCTCTTAATGGCTAAAAATATTTAAAATTGTTATTGCATTTTTATATATATTTTTTTCATCTTTCCCTTCCATAATGCTGTGTGTATGTGTAGATATGTGCATTACTTCGCTGGTCTCCTTTCTGGCCACATAAAAATCAACAACAAGCCCCTGTTCCTTCATCATGTCATCATGCATGGTGTACCTAATTTTGAGTCTAAAGGAGGTAGGTGCACACACTGCTACACATTCAATTCATCAGTGCAATTTTATGTCTATGATTATTATAATATGCTGAATGCAAGCAACTGTAAAATCAGTGATGTGCTGTACTATATCTAACCATGTCAGGTTGCCGACCCTTCCTCAAAATCTATCAAGCAATGCAGCCCGTGTACACATCTGGAATTTAGTAAGTAAATTGCTTCCTAGTTTGATTGCTGAATAATTTTAATACCTAAACTGTAGTTGTGATCTCATTATCGTAATTGTAGACATTATACGTAAAGTTTCTAACATATTGACAGCTGTAACAGATATTCAACTGTTTCATCTAGTTTCATGTTCATGGACTTTTAGTTTGTTTCTGTTCAGATTCCTTTTTCCTTTGTTCTAGTTCAGAGATGGGCAACTTCGGTCCTGGAGGACCATTGTCCTACAGAGTTTAGCTCCAACCCTAATCAAACACACCTGAACAAGCTAATCAGCATCTTCAAGATCACTAGAAAGCTACAGGCAGGGCCGTTTCTAGGCATAGGCGAGCTAGGCGGTCGCCTAGGGTGCCACCAGCTGAAGGGGTGCCAATGAGCGCACGTACTGGCACTTTTAGCAGGGTTGTGATAAAGAGTAGCATGGTCACCCTGAAATATGACTGCCGCCCCTACTGGATCCCCCAACATTATTGGGCTAGAGTACTGTCAATCTGACGATGCCTGTATGCCACTAGATCAGAGTGCTGTCAATTGCTGCCTGATTGACGCATGCAAAGTTTGCATTTGGAGTGCTCAACAACGCCATTAGATCAGTGGGCTCTGTCAGTGCTTTGGCAAGGTAACACTTTTTTTCAAAGTTCAAAGGCCAATTTAAAATATTGCATTGCCAATGCATTGTTAAAGGATCAGCGTGTCATGTAATATTCCCATATAAACTTTAACATCCAATTAAAAAATATTTGTATAGTAAAATGAGCTAATTCACGAGATCAATACATCCTTTATTAGACATATATTCATATATATGAGTTTTGGGGGGGGGGGGGCAATAGGGATTTCGCCTAGTGCATCAAATTGGCTAGAAACGGCCCTGGCTACAGGCAGGTGTGTTTGATTAGGGCTGAAGCTAAACTCTGCAGGACAGTGGCCCTCCAGGACCGAAGATGCCCAATCCTGTTCTAGTTCCTACCAATCCTTATTTGTCATGGTTTCTGAGTTGATTGTTTCATTCTTTTCAGGTGTTCGTCATTAACCTTGTTGGCTCTGTGTATTTAAATTCCCCTTGTTTCAGTTCAGTTTGTCCGGTCTTGTCAGTGTTTTGGTTGAGTTTAGTTTGCCTGCCTTGTTTGAGTTCTCTTCCGTGTGGATTATTAAAGACTTTTGAAACTTCATCTTCTTCGTGTGCATTTAACAACCAAGTTGTGACAACAACATCTATAACACAAGATATTTACAAATTAAGAACTTTAGAGACATACAAATGATTTTGAATCCATTCCCAGAATACTGCATTTATGGAATTCATAGGTTTATTTTAACGTGTTTAATCAATTCGATTATTTAAAAAATATTTACATGATTTGACATTATAACAGTTTTATTCTGTTCTGTGTGATCTCTAGTGCCGCATTCAACTTGCTTTGAAGGATGTTTAAATTTACCCAATGTTAAAATTTTATTTTGAAGACAAAAGTATATAACCGTATATTGTGACCTACTGTAAAATTATTATTACTGTACATTTATCTGCCTGTTACGTTTTTACATTATTGAAAAGTAGTTAGGTTTAGGGTGGGGTTGGGGTCTCAAAAATAAAAATCTCAATCTGCGCCTGTGTGTGTGTGTGTGTGTGTGTGTGTGTGGATTGGCAGACACAGTGCCAATGCCAAGACTGCAGTTCTTTTTTTTTTTTTTGATTAGAGGGTCCTTT